TATCTTGTATACCTTTATACTTTATTAATTAGTTTAATGTAATCTTATATGTCGTTCTTGATTTTGTCACTGATTTTTTGATATAGGTGCTTTTCAGGTATAAGTGCATTTATACCTGGATTGATCATTATAACTATAGAATTAATGTATTGGATTACGTTATTTGTTAAATTTTTATTATTCTTTATTTGATCCTATTCAGTTATTAGTGTGTTTCTTCTTTTTCCTATACTATATACATATATACTTTTATAATGCTGTTATTTGAACCCATACTACCAATTTTTCAAATTCTAACATGATTTCAATATGTCGTTAAAGAATATTTTGAACCTTTTGTTAAAGAATTATGTTGTAATATATGGATTTTCAGTGATGTTCTCTAAATGCTTTTTTATCAAATCTATTTCGTCTACTGATCTTTCTGACTAAAGATGGCATTACAACATTATGACGCTTATTTGTTACCTGTTGCAATTTAAATTTTAATAATGTTACAATTCGTTGCAATATTATAATACTTATTTGTCATCTATTACAACTAATTGAGGTGCTATCTTTATTTCTGACATTAGTTTGTATAATTCTGACCAGTGAAAATCTGCCATGCTTAAAGTAAAAAAAATTAATTCTTAACATCTGATTTGTTTGATCATATCTATCAATTCATAAAGTCTTACCGCTCAGAATTGTCTTGTGTTTCATAGTCCTTTCCTATATCTTATAATCCTATCTGCTAATTGTTTATCTCCATTAAATATCATTTCTTATATATTTATTACGTCAATCTGATTATCTTTAATATTTTGCTTTACAAATATTGCTCTTTTTGACAGCGCTCTCTATCTTAATAATAAATTTTAAGCAAAATACTTCACCATGTATGTTAGATAAATTTACCATCTTTGTATCATATGAGATGTTTGAAATACTCTACTGGTATAATATCTTTGGCTTATCCGTCTCTAAGATCAGCTAGACCATGCAAGTTTAGTATAAGAAATGTTTTTACCATATATCCAGTTGTTTAAAATTTATTTATAGAATTTTTGTCTATCTCCAATCATATTACTGGTTGATTTTAGCTTTATATACATTCAATTATATCATTTATAACTCTTTCTTCTCATGATATATTTGATATTAAAGGAACAAATATACTTATTATTACATTTTTATCATGATCTCTATCATCTAAGCTCTCATTATTATCTTAAATTTGAGGAAGCAGGTGAGCAATGTTTTCACTTTCAGGTAATGAATTAAGGATCGCATTATCAATTATAATATTTTTATAATATTTATTATTTTGTTTTAACTATATTAATGCTTTTGCTATTCTATCATAATACATGTTAAATTCTCAGAATGTGGTTGGATTATTTGCATTTTGTTTTCGTATCAAAAGTATATCTAGTAACAATAGATTCCTTGAAAGTTTATTAGTAAATTTTTGGATATCTTGTGAAAGTTAATAATATTTCTCCTATATCTATTTTGTCTTCTTTAAAGACAATAAACTACCATCACTGTGAAAACTTGAGATATTAGCATTTCTTCAATATCTGTGAGCTTTTTAAATTCTTCTAGAATATCTCCTAGATCCATATTATTTTTTGCTAAAAATTTTTTACTAAATTTTTTTTCTTATAGCATCTTCAACATAAGTCTAACATTTCATTAATTTCCTTTACTATAATTATTGATAGGTTTTGCTCATTATATATTAAACAGAATTTGTACGTTATTTTATTCATTTTATCTCAAAATTTTTTCAATAATTTTTGTTTCTCTACTAACATATTTTTTGTTATTGATATGATTAGTATGTCAGGTTACTTATTTACAGTTTTTTGTAATATTTGTTCATTGCTATTAACTGCTACTTATTGTAATTGATTGCATTTTTGTTCTATGCATTTTTATTTATTTTCACGTATCACCTATTTCAAATATTCTTCAACAGTTTCTGTTAACTCCCTTTTCTTTTTTCTTAGCCTATCACTTGTACATCTAGTTTTCATTCTCCTTCTATTTCTGCTTCTTTATTCTATTTTTTATATTCTCATTCGTGAGTGAAACGTGCTTCACATTATTCATCCATCTTATTCTGTTGATTATTTCATTTTTTAACTGTCTCTGGATTATTATTCATTCTATAGATAATATTAGTATAAACTAATAAAAATTTTAATGTGAGTGTAATTTAATTTTTGCATTTTATTTTTTCAAGATTATATATAATTTTATTTTCACTCGCTCAAAGAATTTAGGTAGGAATATAAGCTGCAAATTTTTATAATTTATTATTTATATAGTTATATTAGTTTTATTTAGTTAATTTGATAAAGAATAATTGTTATAATAATAATAATCTAGATGTATTTGGCTATTTTTTTTAATATTAATGCTTTATTTAATTTTAATAAACAAGAAAAATTCTGATTAATTAATTAAAATATATCTTTTTATTAATCTCTTTTTTTATTTTTTACTATTGATACATATAATATTTAATTTATTTAATTTAATAAGTATATTAAATTGATTCTATTTTGTTATTTCAATTAATTTTATGTGTTATCATTAATTTTGTATTACTGCCGATCTATTGCTTAGTTTAATTTAGCACTAATTTAATGCTCTGGATTTGCAAATAGTTTCCATTCTCTAATTATATCTAAAAATGGTTATCATATAAAAGTTAGATTTTTTTTTCTTAATAAAAACTTTAATATATATTACTAAATATTTACATATATATAAGTTTAAATTAAATATTGCTAATTTCATAAAATTTATTAAAGATAAGTTATCTAAGTTATCTTATTTTTGGAATAGAAAAAATATGAATATTTCATATTCAATTGTATATGAATGGTTGTATTTACTCAAATAGAAATATAAAAGATTTTTTTAAAGAACATTTATTTTGATCATTATGAGTATGAAAATATAAATATCAATACAATAAGCAAAATTATATAAGCAAATAGCTACTTATGAAAGTGAAAATTTAAATTAAATTATTTTATCTGCATTTCTGAATAATATTTCTAAGATTGTTCTCATTATTTATAATAAATCAATTTTTTATGTTAATAATGATATTATTAAAATTTAAAATCTAACAAATAAGAATTGATTTTATTGTAAGTCATAAAGTCTTAGTATTATGTAAATATTCTTTTTATGAGTTTATTGATAACTTTGACTTTAAAAGAAGATTTATTTCACTAATAATTTACTTTCTAATAGTGAGTGGTTTTTATATACTTAAGTTTATATTATAATATATCCTAATTAAAGATGACGCCTCAATTAGTTGCAACAGGTGACAAATAAGTATCACAATGTTGCAATTAATTACAACATTATTAAAATTTAAGTTACAATAGGTGATAAATAAGCATCACAATATTGCAATGCCATCTTTAATCCTAATATAAATCATGATAATTGATAGATAAATAAAGATATTATTAAATAGGTAAAAGAAATATTTATTCCAATATTTATACATATCTATTCAAAAAAATTTACCTATTCATATTTAATAACAGTTGCAATTATAATGCATTTGCTGATGATATATTAGTAGTTTTAAAAATGAATATTAAAAATAGCAGAAAACAAATACTTCTTTATAATAATAAAATGCTTGATAGCTTGTTTTATGTTATAACATTTATAGATAAAGATGATAGTATAATAAAGTTTAAAAGTATTTGACAAGTCCTTGAAAAGTGTAATTTATAGATAACAGATTTGAAAATAGATGCAAAATGTATTTATAATAGGATATATAAATAGGTAATAAGAAATTAACACATATTTACTAATAACTCTATGCATTTCTTTAATATTAATACTATATAATACTAATTAAAATTATCTAAAATAGAAAATAATTAATATCTTATTTTACGTAAACTTTGTATTATTATTTTTTTATGTATTGTTTGAAATTTTTATATAATATAATTCTAATTTAATAAATTAAACTGTTATATAATACTTATCCTTTTTGTTCAACCTTTATATCATAAAAATATACTTATAAAAAGTAATTTGCAATTAATAATTAAATTTTTAATCTTTAATTAACATTTTTTTAAATATAGATTATTAAGATAGCAGAATATATATACATATTCTACCTGAAGTTTTATTGTAAACTTTAATTATATCAAATTTTTTAAGTAAAGGTAAAATGGTATTCACATCTTAATTATATTCATACTTAAAAAGTTGTATTATATGCATTAGATTCTATTAGTCTAATAAAAATTTATCAGTTTTATATTTTACATATTATATAAATGCTTACAAACTTAGATTTTCAAGTAAAGTAGCTGTTTTTATAATTAAACAATATCAGTTTATTATCATGTTCCTGCAAATATTTTAAAAAAATTATTAACATATAAATGAGAAATAAAAAATTAGTTAATCATATTCTATTTTATAATTTTATAAATAAATCATACTTTTATATGTAATAAAAAAATACTAATAAATTCACTATTATTATTTAAATTAATATTAAAAAAATCTAACTATATAAAAATTTTTATAATAAAATATATAAACAAAAATATGTTATATTATAGACTATATTAAGAACTATTAAATAATAAAATATTTTTTTAATATTTTTATAATTTAAAAAATTTTCTTTATATTTTAAAATTATTTGATTATTTAATAAATCATATTACAAATTAATTTTAAATATTTTTTAAAATTTATAATAAATTTATTTATATATAATTAAATTTTAATTTATAAATCAGAATATAAATTTGATTAATTTAATATTAATCTAAAAAGTAATTAATTAAATCTAAATCTTAAATAGATTTGAATTAATTTAAAAATTCAATTTTTAATTTAAAATATTTTTTTAAATAAATAATAATAAAAAAAAATAATATTATATTGTTGTATTATTATTATAATATTTATTAAAGAATTATACTTTATCATCAAATTAAAAGTTAATAACAAAGTATTACGTTATAGCTAAAAATAATTTTATTATAATTATTATTAATAAAATATATAATAATATCAAATTATATTCTTATATTTTATTATTTATTAATATTTAATAATCTTTAAAAGAAGAAATTTAATTTTAATATATAAATAAATCAAAGCTTAAAATTTAAACATTTAGATTAAATTATTTCTATATAAGAATCTTCTATATTTATGTTAGATATTTTTTAGTATTTTTACTTATAATAAATTATTTTAAAAACTTTTTATATAAAAAATATAAAGTATTTTAAATAAATAAATATATATATATTTTGATTTTTATTTTCTTTTAAAAATTTATTTAATAAAATATATAAATATATATACCTTATATTTAATCTAATTTCAATTATAAAAATTATATAATTTAATATTATTTTAACAATCATATTACAAAAAAAATATATACTTCACTTTTTTTTAAGTCATTATAAGATTATATACAAAGATGATATTATTTATTACTATATAGAAATTTATTATTACCAATTAATTTATATATTAAATGTGATTAAAATCCAAATTATGTAACAATGATTTTTCATAATAATAAATATAAAAATTCAAGTTATATGTATGCATGTATAAGTAATTGAAAAGTTTTAGTTCTTTATTATTCTTTTTTTATTAATTAGTAAGACCTGTTAGTATCAAAAATCAACTGAAGATTAGTTTAAAAAAAAAAATAATAGCAATAAAAATCATTTATCCAGTCAAGCTTTTCTTAAGATCGAACATATTAACTAAAAATTTTTTATTTGGATCCAGCTCCCTGATGATATATATTTATATAACAAATGGCATATATCAGTTTTTAATTTAACGACTCCGATTACTTTTCCGAGAGTAATTCATTCAAACTTAATCAATTCTAAAGGTAGAAGAAATATGAAACGACTTTATTCAATGTATTATTCAGTGTAATAATTCATGTCAAGAAAACTCAGCGGATGTGGCGTTTGGTTATTATGATTTTCTTTACATTATAGTATCCGCGGTATTTCATCTTATACAGTACGGAGGGGATATTCAATTAGAACACATCAAATTTAATGAAAACGCATTGGTAAAGGATTCGGAGGAGGAAAGGGAATTACAAAAGTAAGGTGGAAGTAAAGAAGGTCCCAACCTTTCATCAAATCATACTACTGTTTATTGAAAATTTAATCATTTTTTGCATTATATGGTGTTTGTGAGAATGGTATTATGCTAATATCCATTGCCTTTCAGCGAACTTCATGTTAACATGTATGATATGTTCTATTAACCATTACGTATTCCATCATAAAGTCTAGAATTTTCTTAATTTTCTTGATAAATAGCTGTATGAATGTGGAAGTACGATAATTCGCATCGGATTTCAGAATTAAAGCAATCATATTATGGCATTAAATGACAAAATATTTTTAAAATAAATCATAAATCAATTCAATGTATTGAAACTTCAACAAATGAACATTTTTTTTTAACTAAAAATTAAAACTAAAATGCAACAAAGAAAATAAAGAAATCAAAGAATCATTTGATGAGACCTGATTATAAGTTAATGTGGATTATGAAGAAAAGATAATTCCTCATAAGAACTGAGGGTTTTAATGTACATATTGGCTTCCTATATTGGATTCAGGCTCGCACTTAGCACTTTCGATGCGAAAGATGAATCGGAAGCATTAAAGATTTCGGGCAAAGCAGCAGAGGTAAGCTAAGTGGTTAACATTTGTTTGTGCTCTAACGTAAATGTAAATTCTCGAATGATCCCTTTTATAACTAATAATTTAAAAACGTTTATTTATACATATATATTTGTTTATTTTTATTTTATTTATTTTTTCTTTTTAAAAAAAAAACAATATATTGAATCTCATCTATAAAAATATTAAAAATCTACTCGCATGTAAAGATGACTTAATCACGACCTGCATTAATATATAAAAATAATGAAATAAATTTGATACTATAAAAAAAAAAAATAATAAAAATAAGATAAAACTATAATAAACTATAATAATACTATAATAAAAAAATAAAGAAATAAGGATTTCATGTTTTCATCATGTTCAAATAACCTAAAGCATAAATCCAAGAAAGACAAAAGAAAAAAAGAAAAAGAAATAAAATATACTCTCCATGCGTACATCCACTCATGATTTTATTGTTCAGCAACATGGAACAAGCTTTAAGTCATCCTTCCAAACGTCTATACCTTACCTTTGAACTTGTGCATGCTTCTAATGGATTACATCGAAATAAACAGTATTAACAATGAGTCAGCTTCCGTTAACACTCAACGCAGGTTAAAAAAGAAGATCCAGTCTTGCGAGTATTATTAATCTTAAAAGTGCGTCTATGAATTTGAAGATTAATTATTTTTGCATAATTTATCCTTTTCCTATTGATCGGTTCCTTTTTTTTTTTTGTTTTTTTTTTTTTAGTTTTTGTTTTTGTTTTTTTTTTTTTTTTTATGGTTATGGAAACATTAAAATACATTTTGATGCATTGTTCGCCGCAAATAAATTGAAATGCATCCAGACACCCCACAACCTCACCGTTATTATTACCAAACAGTGTCCTAAGGCGTACTTTTCAATTATTGACTTACTCCTGTATTAGAGACGAAGAAGCTAGGTCAGGTGGAGACGAGGAACGGGTCGATTTAACATTTTCAATTGATTCCAAATTGGAACCATTAACTTCCACATTTCCAGCTATATCCGATTTTGTCATCATTTTGTTGTCAATTGTAGACTTGACTGACTCGCTTGATCCATTTGAGCTTCGTCGCGTCGGCACGATTGATTTTGTCTATTAAGAGCCTTACTAATCAACAAGTGATCATGAATTCAGCTGCAAATAAAATAGCAAAACGCAACAATGAATTTTTCATCTTCACCTTCGTAGCGGTTTTCGTCTTACGTTTAGGGTGTCGTTTTCCACCTTCTTCTATTGCTTCGGCTTTACGCTTAATCTTCGTGGATCGTTGACCACCTTCTTCAATCACTTCCGGGGGGAGCTGTGCACTAATTATCAAAAATCCTAGCTGAATCCGATGATAATATTTAGCAAGAAATTTAGTTATGAATATCCTTACCCACCTTTTTACATACTTCACTACTATGCCCATGTATCTGTCGTCATATTTATCCCAACTTTTAACCAATTTAGTAAATTCCGACGTAGGCCATGAAATATTTAGTTGTCGAGGTGCTGATGTTGATCCAGCTAATAATATTATTTGATCATTGTTTCAAATTAAAAAAAAGTTAATGAGATCAGACAAATTTTTGTGATACGAACCTGCACGTGGTTCAACATCTAATCCAACATAAAAAGTCGTGGTATAAACAACTCGACCAGCGGATGTGTCACTACCATTTTCATTTTCATTTCCATTTTTCGAAGAACCCGTACCGTTTCCCTCACTGGTAGATTTTAAATTATAAATTCCATGTGAAACATCATTCGCTTCTTGTTCTGTTGCACAACGATGAACTTTATCAAACCCATTTACAAATGGATGAGCTAAACATAAGTTATCTACTCCTTCCAATTTGGATATCAAATGGCGAATCCTTGATTCGACCATTCCAGACCTGATAATTATGAATTTAATGAAGTCATAAAATCACAAATATACAAAAAAAATCTATTAAGCGTAAGTAATGCAAACCATTTCAATTGTCTCTCTGCAGAATCAGATGATGCTATAATTTGAAGATAATATCGATATCTGCAAAAAAATTCATGCTTTGCAAAGAGATCTGACCATTTTCCAGTTCCAATCATAACTTTATCTGCTATTTCAGCCGCTGTAAATATTATAGAAAGAGAATATTTATAATCAATCAAAAAATGACCAAAAAAAAAAAGTATAATATTAAAACCTCTTTTGAATTCTTCTTCAATTATTTTTTTGGTAGATTGTGTCACATTATGTGTAGCGCACATCGAAGGATATGCAGGAGTAATAATAGGCATCAAATGGTATCTATCCCCGTGGTATATCTGTCGAAAAATCAAATAAAAAAACCATCGGAATACTCAAAGCATTTGAGATTATAAAAAGATAAATATTTACAAACCTTTGGATTCCAAACTCTTACTTGCAGGGGACCATCTTCAATTGGTTTGAGTAATACCGGTTGTGGCCAATTCCTAATTTGATATAATCATTTATAAAACTTTGAAGGCACTTATAAAAGAACAATAAGAATAAAAAAAAATAATAATAATATAATAATAATAAAAAAACTCCACACCATTGGTACATAATTCTGAAAAATCGAGAGACAATAGCACCCGCGATCGCATTTGGATATAATTGGCAAATCCTAGCCACTAACATGGCCCAGGCTACTCCACCAAAAAAGCCCATTACATTCGAATAAATTGCACGTCCTATAAAAATAATTCACTAGGAATGATTGCACGTTCATTAGAGAATTATAATAAATAAAAAATCGACTTACTCTTGGCCCACAGTTTGATGCATCTCAGTGATGTTCTAAAGGCTGGTATACTAGGCACGAGACGCAAAATTTCGTCTGTCACACGCGATCCTATTGCAAATGTTGGATTTTGATGCATTATTTGAAGATTTCTATACTATTAGGATAATATAAACACTTACCATTAAGGCTTCTTATACACGTCTCATCCAAATTTTTTAAAAGTGAATTCTCCCTAAGCTCAATATCATCAGGAACCTTAGTAACATTTAATTTTGCAAAAACAAGATCTATCTATTGGAATTAAAAGCAAAAACATATTTTGATAATTAAATAAAGGTACGATTAAATCATAATGAACTGCTCAATTCTGCTACTCACAGGAATATCTTGAAACTTCATTTTGATTACTGGAACATATGCATCAGTGACACTCTTAAAAAGACGTACATGTAAATAATTTTAAATAACAGTTAAGAAAAAGAAAAAATGAAATTTAATAAAATGTATCTACCGTTAATTCAGTAACTTCATTTTTTAAAGAAAAAAGTGAATCATGCATATCAATAAAAAAGTCTTCCCGAGTTACATGCCTTGGAACGACACATAACGTATCAATATCCGCGCCTATAGATATTTTGTAATAAGCAAAACTTTTCGGAAGGAATAATAATTGTAATAATAATATCTCGATACATACCAGCATTATGAACACCTAACCTGTAAGAACCAAAGGTAAATATTTTCCCACCAGCTTCCCTTGCGTCAGCTTCAGGTAACTGTCTCTTTTTACTTGTCCGGTAAACAAATTCTTTAACTAATTTATCAAGCTTTCCAAGTACGACTTCTCTAAAAAGATTATGGAAAAAGATTATGGCTTACATTCGTTCGTTTTTCTTATTTAAGCGGTTTGGCATTAAGATAACTGAAAACTAACCGGCGACGACTTTCTTCTTCACTTTCAAAAGTTCCTTGAGCAGTAAGTTCTTGAACCAGTAAATCTGTGACCTCGATTTCTCTCGGAGTCGGATAGTTTAAGGCGATTGGTGGAGTAACACCAAGGTGTTTTAATTGACTATAGGAAAAAAAATTTTTTTTTTAGTTTTCATAATTCAAGATTAAACTTTACTTTGTATTTATCTACTAAAAAGTTTTTTTGTGATTAATATTAAAAAATTAATAAGAAGCTTACCCGTTGGATGATAGATCAGACATAACTTCTTAAAAACAAAAGTCAATCAGGTTTCAGGAAGAATCAACTGTTCAAACATATAATAAGTAAAGGATAATAATTAAATATAACCTTCAAATAAAAAAAAAAATAAAATAACAAAAATGTAAATAAAATCAACGATGGCTGAAGATCATCATTATGCAGCCTATTTGCCCGTATTTTCACATTTAAGGAATTCATTTGTATTATCGATTATTGTATTATCGATTATAGTATTATGCTAGTAATGTAATTATCATATTATTTATATATATCGTATATATTTAAATATCTCCCGAAATTCACATCTTTTTTGACGCGTTCTCAGTATGAATTTCTTTCCATTTAGCGCGTACATTGGCTCTAGCAACAAATATGTTTATTTTCAAAAAACTTTAATTCATATATTCATAAAAGGAAGATCATCGATAGTGGCAGAATACTTTTCCACTGAAACTCTTCGTAATATGAAAAAATTAGGGTTTTCGCAAATTCAACCTTCTGAAAGTACGACTTTGTAATAGAATTATTATTATTATTATTATTTTACTTAATTTAAAAAACATTAAGATAGAATGTAGAAGTATAAGAATTGTTTTATTTTTAATTTATCACGAGTTTATTTAGAAAAGAATTTTATTATCTATTTGCTTATACGACTTTTTTCTCGTGAATTAGAATTTCGACAACCTCAATTAGTTGCTTTTACCGTGACGAGTAATATTGAATTAGCAATGTAATTTTTAATTGTCATTTATATTTAAATAAATAATTCCCTAACAATTATATAATATTTTTATTGATTTGTAATTTATCTCTCTTTAACAAAAAGCCTCGCCCCTTATTTGCTTTTATGTAATGCAACAAAATCTGAATTTCGTTTGTGGCAACTAGGAGACTATGAGAAGACATGGGATATTAATTTATCTGAAAAAATTCTTGATGCTTCGTTTTGTGGTGAGCGATCGTTTGTCTTTTGTTCAATTCAGTTAAATAAAAAAAAAAAAAGAAGTCATTAATGTCTCCTTAGGTGCTATTATCATGGACGGACCGATGATTGCATTCATATATCAAAACGCGTCGGAAGATGACTTCACTTTTTTTGAAGAAAATAACACTCATATTATTTTATGGAGGCCATTATTGCAAAGAAATATATTATGTTCACTTTCCTTATTAGCACATAGTATCCAGGGATTCTGGCTTCCTCATCAACAATATGGTATCGTTGATGATGTCGACGAACCTTACAGATTCATTAACGTAGTATTTCGACCTCTATATGAATCTCGCATTACAATGCGCAATTTATTTGAAAAATATCCTTCCCCAATACCTTTTTTTATTTCCATGATTCCTGATTATTGTGCAAAGAATATCACTTGTTTACTAAGAACCAATCACCTATGGAACAACGAAGAAATTATATGGATAGGAACTTCCCAAGGAAATATTATATGCATCAAGAACGTCGATAACATTGGCGATATAAAGCCAATATGGTGTACTGACATTACAAGTATTCCTTTGAAGATGTATGATTTTAGTTAATTCTTTATATTAAAAGTTGTAACGTTTGATGACATAAGAGTTAATCTTTTAGGGAGGAAGTTCAATTAGGTGACAAAGTAGGAGGTTTGGATTCTGTTTTAATTATCTATTTTGAAAACGGATTAACTATCTTGAATTCTGATAATGGCAAAAAATTACGAGGTAATATTTTTATATTTGATTAAAGAGGTTTCTTTTTTAATACTTATGTTAAAAAACAGTTGCAACTTTCAAATGTTAGAATTTTCCAATGAAATTATTATACTGTATGGTGATTTCTTTCAATGTGGATATCAAAGCATCGTACAGGTGCCTTGCATATTCAATGACAGCTTAATTCTTATCAGCAATATTAACGTTGAAAATGTTAATAATAAAGGTTTTATTTTTTTTGTGTGAATTTTTTTAGATTAATGAATAATGAAACTTAAATAAATTCAAATATTTTTATTTTCATTAAATTATAGAAGGAAATATTTCACATTTAAGCTCTCTTCTCGATTCTTTATTAACCAGAATATATGATGGAACAGCACAGATACGAAAAATCGAAGAGATGGTAAATAATAGTTTGTTTTGCTATTTCTCTTTTATTTATATTATTTACTTATGTCTATTCAATTTACAGATTGATAAAAAATATAACCTTTTAAAACACAGTGATTCTTTACTTCATACATTTTCCTATTTAATGGGTTTATACTATCTGAAGCAAACAAGGTTTACTAAACAAGTCTTACGACATAGTAAACACACTAAGGAACTTATACCACTTATCTCTCACATACGAAATTATACAAGTAAAGAGATTTGTACCAACCCAGAAGACAATCCTTCTTATATTGAAATTATCGAAGCAAAGGCGAACATTGGAAAATTTAATCATAATGAAAATATTTTAATAGAAATTTCGGTGCGAAATAAGAGTTTGTGAGTATAAATGTATCTTAGGAATTATTTTATTTATCTTTATACTAAAAAATATTGACAGACTTTTTGTTAATTTTAATTAGCCAAGATTTATATGCTGTCCATTTAGTTACATATTTTAAGAATACCTCTAACCTTATGTCTTCAATGTTAAAATCAAATTCCTCATATATCAATTTGCTGCATATAGGAGAATCGAGAACTATCTTATCCTTGATAGATTTGCCACTTGATCTTGTTTCAGATCATTTAGAATTTGGTGCATTCATATTGTACTGTAGAATCGACGAAAGTTTTGTTTCTAATTCCTATCAAATTTCTGACGAAATGATTTGGGAAACGTTATGCGTAAAGAAAATCAAGAAAACCAGAATGATAAATCAAGGTATGATTATAATCGACTTTCAAGTGTCGTTTAATTGAACAAAATCTAATTTAACACGAACTTTACTAGACTTTGTTCATTTGCTTCCTTCTATGACATATCTGATTTTTACAACTACAAATTCTTTGAATTGTCAATGGAGCATATCTTTGTTACCTTTCCTCCTAGAACAATATTTAGGTGTAATTTCAAAAGATGACTCTGAAAGTGATATTTCTAAAGATTATAGACATCTAGATGGTTTGCGTTGGATAAAGATATTTCGATCTTACAAATGTTTGAATGATTCTGTTAACGAAGTAGATCAATTTTCACGCGTTACAAAGCAAATAATGGCAATGCGTGGACAGAATGACAGAAATTTGATTAATATGTTGGTACATCTATTAAATGAAGATATCCTTTTATTTAAGAAATATATTTTATGTTCATTAGTTTATTTTTTTGTTTTATCTTTGACGTCGGTTTTTGTTCTTTTCCTTTTTTTTTTTTTTTTTTTTGTCGATAACGTCTTTCAGTTACATTACCGTTTCCGTTATTTACTTCGACGAAAGCTCTGAATAATTTAAATGATGTGCTACATATTTTAGAACAATTAATTATAGCAGATCTAAATCTTGAAGACAAAGGAAAGAATGTAACAATAAATGGAAGATCTGGAAAATTACGATGTGAATTATGTATACTAGCAACCACTTGGTTGTATAATCTATGACGAACAATTAATAAAGGAAATATTTGAAATTTACAGACAATCGGTTTAAATATTATGAGAGATCTCTATCGACGATGCAAATTAAAAATTGATAACTAATTGCTATAATGTCATATTGTATATTAAACCCTTAATATTCACGATAAGGTCCTAAGTAGTAGAAATATAAGTCATAACTTTATATGTATTTATTATATGTTCTTCTCTTCTTGTTTATTTTAAGAGAATTAATCTAAATCATGATGATAATTTTTATTTACAAACAAATATAATTACAAATTGACAGTTAATATTATTTACATTTTTTTTCTTTTCAACCATTTTTTATCTATCCTCAATGATTGCCAAACTTCGTCAATTATTGCCCTTGGCCCACCGATAACAAGGGATTGGTCACCATCTACCATTTGCGATTTTATATTGCATAGAGTACGAAATGCAATAACCCAGCAAACTTGTCCATCAAGCTTCTTTTCAACAGAAGATAGATAGAGAGAAGCAGCTTTCAGTTGTAATTCAAACATGGCGAGTGGGTCTAGACTGTTTTCAAAAGTTGTTGACGTTCTATCTTTCAAAAATTTAAAAATGCTACTTTTATAGTTTTCAATTGGTGGACTATTTAGAAACTTGTTTAGAAATTCATAATCCACACCTTTAAACTCGTCATTTAATCTAGAGGAATTTGTCGTCAAAACTGATTTTGAAGACGATAATTCAATTTCTTTTCTATCCTGATTATCTTGGTAAATATTAGCACATTTTTTATTATATAGTTGTACTAATTCCGACATAGAGTTGGCAATAAGATTTAAGTCCTCCTTATATGCTGACCCTTCTTTCATGTGTTGAGCCCTAATGAATTCATTTGTCCAAAATTCATTAATATGAGTATCAACCAAATCTTGTGACATCTTTGCTACCGAAAATTCTTTGCTATTTACTTCGTTTGTCTCTTTCTCTATTGTAATGCAAAGTAAATCCATTATGTTCGTAACTCCGAAATTATCTCCACTGTCTGGTTTCATTTTAAGACGATCTTTGTCCATCCAATAAGGAACAGGAAGTTTTCCAAATAACTCATTATCATTATGTCGAACACTTGGTTTGATGGTAAGTCCCTGTTTAGTAGAATCAACAAGCTGTGCACACATTTGAGCAAGATAAATTGACTGTTTATCAGATATTCCAAATCTAGAGGAATGTAGTTTATGCCATCGATCATAAAGACCTAGTATTGGTTCCAAGCCTTTAAAATAATTATCTAAAATAACTTCCTGCATTTTGTATTCAAAGGAAGTTCTAGAAGAGGAAAATAAACTTTCAATTAATTGTTTATTTTCATTAAAGGCATTTTTAACATTTGGATCAATAGGTAAAAGAGGGGCATTTTTGAAATGTTTAACAATTTGCGGATCCCAGCAACAGAAAATCTAAAAATAAATATATAAATGATTAATAAATACACACACACACATATTTTTTAAACAAAAAGATTTGAAATATTATATTACTTTGTCCCCATCGTAATCTCCACCACTTATGTGGGTAGCTAATGATACATCTCCTCTTTCAGCATTTACAGGAAATATGACAACGTTATAGTAAATACTCAGATGCATATTTTTAACCGCTTTCACTTTGACAAGATCAGAAGGTAAAATAGATGGATTTCTAGCTAGGATAACTTCATCTTCAATAATTCCAAATGGCAATCCCGTCCGTTCATCACGTCCTGATTCTTTATCCAATTGAATAAAGACTTCTCCTGGTTTCAATGTTCTTGTTGGATCGGCAATACATACTAATACGCGGGATAAAGGAAGTTCTATTCGAAACTTATTACATAGTGACTTTAATACGTTCATGAGTACAAGTTTTAACTTTTTCGCTAAAAATGGACTCGTGGAAGGGGTGAAACCTGCTTGTATCATCTGGATACATTGTTCAGCTGGACTATTTGGAAATCCTGATACAGCACTTCCGTCAAATCCTAAATCAACGGATGATTCTCCATAGTTACTTCCATCATCTGAATAATCATCCTCGAAATGATTAAAAACTTCTAATCTCTTTTTCATAACCTTGGAGACATTAGTCACCCAAGATATTAAAGAGTAAGGATCGTCACAATTTACAACTTCAGATTTGATATTATCGAGAAAATCTTTCATAATTTTAAGGAAAACTTCAACAGGAACACCCCCATTGTATAAAACTCGAATGAATTGACTGTTAAGTGTACCTGGAGTTCTCGGTGAAACTACGACACGCAAAACTTCTAAAGTACGTAAATGAGTGTCATCAACATCTGAATTTTGATTCACATTATACTTTATTTGTGATCTTCGTAATTCAATCCATTTATCTCCACTGTTGTCCTTGCGTGGTTCAATGTACCAAATGCCTTTTGCCCCTCCAATCCTGCCTTGAATAGCGGAAGGGGTTTCTTCCAAACCCAAGATTTCGGAAACTTCCTTCATAGCGACCAAAGAGATTGCGGCACATCCATCAGTGAAGCAATGATTCTCTATTGTGATATCTTCGACGTTATATCGAATTTCATTTGGTTTGAAGATAATTGTAGGAGTAGAATTAGAAAATCCCAAAGAGATCCGAGAATAGAACTTTGCAGTGGTCATCTTTTTATTAAGCTCTAGTGGCAAGTTACAATCGATAACTTCCCTAATTGACATATTTTTAAGGCCTGATCCACTTGTTGCAAAATAATATAATGTTTCCGATTTCGCATATAAAAACTCGTATTTTCTTCCAGCAAGTGATAAAGGGCATAACAATAAATTTTTCAAATTTGATTTTTGTTTATTGTTCAAGCCATTAATGTTCATATTAACTTTTAGATGAAGAAATCTCTCGGATGAGAATATTCGGTAATATCTCTTGGAAGTACCGATCTTTGGAGGGTGTAATGTTAATACTAGATGACGATCTTTGAGCACCACGTCTCCTGAAAATATTACGTGAGCTCTAGGTCCAGCTGGAGGAAATTCCTTTAAACTCAGAGCCCAGACATGAATAAGATTTTTATTTATTAACTTCGGCATTTCAGTGAAAATGTTCACGTTGTGTCGATTTAAATAGTATTGTTTACATTCTTCATGAAGAACTTCATGGATCTCCACGCCACATTTTATTTTGATTTTGTTCCAGAGTTTATCGGTTGGTTCAATTGGGCCAAATGGATTCAAAATTCGTACGATCTCGTATCTGTCCAAAAATGCAATACCATCAACATACTTTTCATATTCTTCGGGCATTTTTGTTGACAAGCGGTTCCGTGTAACCACCCAAGGATCTTCAAATTTTGGCCATAATGATGATGGATTTGGTGCTTTAATTGATGCTTTGGATGATTTTGATGACATCGATAAAGATGATATGGATGAAACTAAATAGGTGTCATCGTTTTGACCAAGCGAAGATTCCCATTCCTCGTCTTCATCGCTATGTCCTGGTAAATTGACAGAAACCTTGATTAACTCTTCCATAAACATTTCACGTAACTCGGGAATATTTTTTGACGGCATTGTTTCTTTCAACTTATTCTCTACCGTAAATCGACGAACGGTACTATCAAGTAAATCCGGATCGACCGTTGCGATTTCAGTCATAAAATTTCTATGGTCTCTTGTAACAAACACTTCATCTAAGTTTATACGACCAGGAATATGTTTGGTAATTTTTTCCAGCCGGCGTATATACGTCGATACCGTTTTATGGGTATCTACTGGCTCGTTAAGTGAGCTTATAGTTGAATTAATATTCATTATATCATAAATAAAAAGATAAAAAAAAAAAGAAATTAAATTAACGAGCGTAATCGACTAGCGGAAAGATAAAATAATTTTTTAAATTTAAACATTTTTAAGTAACACCCATTGAATTTCTATTTTAAGCAATGTCGCTGTTTGACAAAAAGCCTTATTTGATTCAGGGGTTTATGTGTGAATAATTATTCCCACACATTAACAAAATCCTATAAGCCACTACCTATGTAGATTAGGAAAGAAGTTAAAGTAGAATTAGATATAATTTTTTTGCTTTAGATATATAATTAATTTTCTAAGTATCATACCGTATAATATATTTTTTAGGTCGATCCAATTTAACATACCCCCCCCCAAAATGAAAAAAATCTATAGTATAATAAATTACATTTTTATTAATTTGTAACAGTATACTACTACTATTTTAGAATTTAAACACCACAAAATAAAATTACAACGATGTTGAGAAACTTTTCTCTGTTTTTTATTTTCCTTATTTTAAAAAACATGCGTTTGATTGTTACGGTTAAAGAAGATATCGAAGTTATTGTTAAACCGACCCTTTTAATAGTTGATGATTATTACTTTGAAAGTCTTTTTTATAAAGTTACACTGGACGCATATAGACAAAGAATTTTAAAGTTTGTTGCCGAGTAAGCGAAAAATTTCATGGACTCGATTGAAAATTCGAATGATCTTATTACAGAAGTAATTCAGGATTTAATTTTACAGAACTGAAATTTGCAGTTGATTTTAGCATTAAGAAATGCATTAGGTCTCATTATACAGAATGCAGTCCAGCAAAAATCATTATGATTGGCTAATTATGTATCACAAATTTCAATTATTATGATCGACATTTATGTTGTTTTTTTTTACACTTCGTCTTTTTAGATCCACTTTTAGTTTTTTCAGATCCACTTTCTTTTAGAAGTTTTTATTATCTTAAATGTATCATCAAAATAAAGGACCATGGTATGTGGTCGTAAAAAAAGTGAAGGAAGCAAAGAAAAATTCGAAAATTACAAACACAAACTTTGACTAAAATACAAAAAAGTTCCGAAATATCTTTACTAAATATTAATTTTCAGGTTGGTAATGAATTATTGTCAAGAACATTATAATAAACTAGTCTGTTATGATCGTAATACTCCAAAAAGTTCCAAAAAGCTTAATAATGGGAAAGATACTGCTTATCATGGAGAAAGCATTCAATTTGCTTATCTCGAAAAGTTTATCAGCAATTTATAAATAATACAATAACTGTAGAACAATTAGAATTGCAAATTGAGGAGCTTAAAAAAGAATTAATTTTTTAAAGGAGACTCAAAATAATGGTGCTAATAATAATATTAAAATAATATTTTTAATTAATTATATTATTACTAATAATTAATTTTTTTATTATAGTTATAATAGCATCTGTACAACTTTACAGATCAAATAGAACGTATGACGAAAATTCTTTATTGGCATCAACGAGAAGGAAATTTACCAATCCAAAATGCTGATGAATTTATCTACTTAATGGAAATTCATGATCCAAAACTTTGTGGTTTTTTTAATATTTTATATGAATCTATGAATCCTGGTGGAAAAAATGAAAAAACACAACAATTAAAACAAAAGGTCATGTTACTTTGTTATCAAATGGGAGCATTACGAAATAAACAAGTTAGTGGAGCTAAAAATGCTATTGGATTATATATGACCGGTGCCGGTACATCAACTATAGGCATTAATACACTTTCAAATATGGGTTTTAGCGCGACATATCAAACTGTATATAATAATAATAAAAAAAATTGTAAATACACATGAGCAAACAGTTCAAGAATATGTTTCAGATAATGTTAGAAAATTAATATATTTGTAATTTATGAATATTTGTAATTTATTATTAATAAAAAAATTTTTTTTTTAGCAACAAAAACTTTTAATTCTTAATGTAGACGATTATCATGATTTACTTGAATCTCGTATACCAAGTGTAACTTCTATTGATCGCATTTCTCATATGGCAACTCTTTTACTTAATACCAAAGATATTTCACCAATTCCACTATTTATATCAAATTCATTTACTTTTCATAATCCAAAATGGTGTTGATGCTAGATTACTTAAAGAAGCACTTAATTCACATTATATGACTGGATTTGCAATTATTTATAATGAACGAAAATCTACTTGGCATTCAATAACAGATATTACAGCATTAAATGAATCAGATCTTATGGAAACTTTAATTATCCATTGTTATGATGCAGATTTATCAGAAAAACACATTTGAAGGTTTGATATAACAAAACTTATTGATTTTATACCAACCAATTTAAATAATATGAAGAATTATTTAAAAGTATTGAATAATCTTTTTAGGTAATCATGTAATTTTATTAAAAAAAAAAAAATAAAATAAAAATAATTATTTAATTATTTTGATTATTTTATTATAATAAAAAGATTATCTGAAATACAATTATATTTGACAAAT